AGACTGCCAGTCTAGCCGTACTTAGATCTAGGTTTGGCCCTATCGACTCAAGCCTGTTAAGTACACAGGTCTCATTAGATCTAGATCTAGTAATTATTCAGGTTCTAATACATGCAAGTCAGTAAGGCACCTTTTGGTTTTGTCTGAAATAGAAATACTTTATAGGCATTGCAAACTAAAAATTTCATTTACAATTCAGCAATCAATATTAAGTACGGCTACCCTGACAAGTCTTGCCGTCCTTAAGTACGGCTAGCCTGGCAGTCTAGCCGTACTTATCTTAGTCCCTATTAACATTAGAAAACAGGAGGTTTAAAATACATGCACTGTCATTAAGGCACCTGGTTTCGTCTCAAATACAAATACTTTAGGTACTGCACACAAAAAAAATATATTTACAATTCAGCAGGCCTATATATTTTTTTAATGGTCAGTCTAGCCATCATATTTAGAAAAAGTACGGCTAGACTGCCAGTCTAGCCGTCATTAAGTACGGCTAGCCTCTTCCTTTCCTATAAAAGACCTATAAGGTGTAATACATTACTTCTACTCTGGTCCTTTGTTCTAGTCACTTTGGCCAATCTCATATGTGTTCTTTTTTTCAGCAAACTATCATGGCGGTAGTATACTATGAATTTGCATTGTTTGTTTCGAGTGTTCATTTATTTGTTTCAAGTGCATATTGTGTTAAGTGCTCATTTATTGATCATGTTATGTTATTATGTCTTGTGTTTTTGGGATCTTACCCATTTGAATATATGTGTGTTTCTGCATTTAAGTCTGTTGTATGGCACTCTTTAATCTGATATTTACTGCAGGGCAGGAGTTCAGTTTTTTTATTTAAAGATGTTAATTAGTTCAGTTAAGAAGGGCCTGCACTAAATGTACCTTTCATCCTGTTAATTCTACTGAAAGTTGCTCTCAGGTGAAGAATCATCTAGGCACTAAAGTGGTGAACAATATTCTTCTCCTTGGCCCTGTCCAAAGCTTTGTTGTATTGTTACACTATATGAAGTTAAGTATTTTCCTTCTTTTATACATTTCTTTACTTTATGATACTTAATTCTGTTTTTTAAAACTGGGTTTTTGCTTATGTTAAAGGTAAATGTAGAAAAGGTGCCAACCGCGGCAGCAAGTGAACCTTACCTTCCTTTGTGATACACTGGTTACATTTATTGTCATTATGACCCATTATAACGGTCACAGTGCGGCCATGCTAGGTCTCCTGAATGGTTGGTGAAGAAACTCTGCATTTACAAATAGGAAGCCAATTTTTTTTCTTCTCACCGGAAGCACAACGCTGTGGCCTTGTTCCTTGACGGCTGCTGTTTCAATACCCCCAGCCTGGCCTTGTTCCCTAACAGATGCAAAAAGTTTGACGTAGACAGCGGTGTTGCTAACGTTTTGCAATGTTAGGGTCACCAACTAACAAACATACATTGAAGACATTCAAGAATAAGTTGGATATATATAGTATAGATCTGCACAGTTGATTTCTGTTCCTAAATGATAATTATTATGAACTCAAAGCACATCAAACTTCCTGGGAAAAAAGAATAAATGTATGTGAGATCCGTTTACAACAACTGGAATAATGACTTATGAATGAGACAGTTCTTATTTCGGATTACAATTTTTCTTTTTCTTTTTTTGGGGGTTTAATTCATGGCTAGCAATTTGAAATGTGTGTGAAGTGCTTGTAGGTCTGTTAGCACTAGGTGCAACGCCACATAGTACAGTGGAACTCGGATTCTATGAGGTCACGGGGCCTAACCTAAAATCTCGTTCAATCCTAGTGTTTGTTTTAGCAAACACATAAGGTTTTTGTGTTGATAATTACAGGCACTGAGCAAGTAAAGTATAAAGAGAAGTAACAAGTGTTGCCTGAAATGCCTGCGTATTATGAGCTGTGCAAAAGAAGACTGATTCGTTCAAATGCACGCCCGTGTCATCTCGATTGTTTGTCAAAAAGTTGTGTTGCTGTGTAGAGTCCCTTAGTTTGAGAGGATTTAAATTTAGCGTTTGACAATTTAACTTAAGATTTTATTGTTTTATTTTGTATTTGCAGTATTATCAGTCTTGTATTATCAAGAAAAGGTAGATTAATTGTGAGAAAAATAGACTGCTGTATCTATAATGTGAGGATGGTTGGTTGGTGCTTTAGTGCGATATACTCCTTTCTCCTCCTTTTTTTGTTTGTTATACTCTTTAAACACCTGATCACTGATCTCCGGCACTTACCGTATTGTGTTGCAAGTTCTGTAAAACTTAATTAAAGCTAAAACGAAAAAACTAATCTCCAAATGTGTATGAAAAGTAATGACATTTAGGTTAATTTATAGTGATAATGGCAAAAGTTGCCTTGTCACATGGTGACCTTGCAGTATCTGTTGCAATGTTTTTAAAACATTTCTCAGGGGGCTCTCGTGGCCTAGAGTAAGGTGTTCGCCTCTCATTTATAACAGTAGTCTCCGCCTAAACGCACGCTGCTCGGGAGAGTTCCTTAGCGTGTGTTTATACGGAGCGTGCGTTTACATGAACTTCTGCAAAGGGAGGAATGGACGCAGTCATCTCATTGCCTTGATATTCAATGATATTCTAGTGACCTCCCTTTGGGGTGGGGGTCACTTTGGGCCGATAATGTGACGACACGTGATTGTTTTGTGAAGGATTCCCCGAATGCGGTTAAGACTGCAAAGGCGTTTAATGGGTGTGTGTGTGTGGGGGGGGGGGGCGGAAGACAGACTCGATGTAATGAATGCACCATCAAATGTCGGGAACCAATAGCCTAAAAAAGAAATTGTTGGTGATAGTCATAGAGACGACGGCCCAGCCACGTGGCTTTCCAAGCGACCACCCCCGACCGTAAATTCATGAACGAGCATTCACGCGTGTTGCGCATCATAGGCTCAAGGTGACAATCCATGTGTGCGGGACGGCAGCGGCACGGCAGCGGGACGATAAAAATCGCTCCAACAGAAATACCAATGTCTGAATCCATAAGTGCGGGACGGCAGCGGGACGATAAAATCTCACCCAGGAGCGATTCTGCTGCTGACGCAGCTCTGCCGCAGACAAAAATATGGATGTGGCGGAATAGGGTTGACTGAAGAATCTCTGTGTGATGCAGTCAATTTATTTGGCACGGAAAACTTGCTGAAACCATTGCACTCCTATGTCGTCCTTCATCCACCCATTATCTTGATGCCCAAATGGTGCCTTCTGGGCTGTCTTGAATAGCAAAGGAATGGATGGACCTGTTTGTTATGCTAGTGACAAAAGATCAAGATAATTGCAACTTTACAATACTGGCGAAGTTACCCGTCGGCTGTGGCGAATTTCCCCGACGATTGGTAACCTTAGTAAAATATTATGTATTTATTTAATTAAATTGATTGAAATAACAATTAAATACCTCCACATAGAGATAATAAAGCAGTTACATTACTGGAATCAGTGCAAGAACATAGAAAATATGGATGATAATTAAGTCAATAAGAATGATAATAATAAGAATAATAAGATGATAAGTCAATAAGAATTAAATGCAGAGATGCGTAGGCTCTATGAAGAAGATTCATAGAAAAAGGCGCACTTTTCGTCCCGCTGCCGCACATATGGATTTAATGTGACTTGCGGTACCGCACATATCGTCCCGCTGCTGTGCCGCTGCCGTCCCGCACATATGAATTGTCACCTTCAGGCTAGGTCTAACTAAACATTAGCCAACACGCAGTCACTCAAACACCAGTCAGAAACCTTCTCTCAAAGAGATGCATTTCCAGTGACCAATCAAATAACGTTTCAGTCCCCCAACCCCCAACATTTCACTGACCAGTCCTAGACCTGTGTGTCTGTGGAAAGTTGGGTGTGAAAACGCTGTCCGTCACTCTCTTTGTTCGGCGTAAGGCCGTAACGCGGGCAGTCTCACCAAATATCCGGTTTTCTGGGCTTGTCTTAGATGCAAGCTGTGTAGATCGTACAGTAGTCGTGGTGAAAATTTCCCTCAGTCAAGCTTTACCTGTCACCAGTTTTTCCGATCGGAGCGTACGTTTAGGGGGAGTGACTGTGCGTTTGTACGTCTGAATTATTATAATTATATAGTAAAAAACCCGTCAGAGGATGAGGATGAAAGTGTGTGTTTGAGCGGAGCGTGCTTTTGTGTGGCGTGCGTTTAGGCGGAGACTACTGTAGGTCCCTTGTTTGAATCCGGATTGTGACGGGTGAGTGGTTGGCGGGTGCTCTGGTGCGGTTTGCTCCTTCTTTCCTGTCAAACGTCTATTGTCCTGATCTCTCCTACTTTTTTATGTTTGTTTACTCTCTTGTAATTCCTCTAAACTTCGGCACTTATATAACCTTATTGTGTAGTAAAACTCTTACGCAAACTAAAAAAAAAAAATAGTGACGGAAAATTTTCTTCTCAAAAATGTTCTCCTGTCACATCCTTTCCTGCTCTCTAACAATGTTCTGTTGTCTGCTTTCGTCTCCACTTTCTACTCCCAACCCACCTCCTTTGCCCACTCCTCTGGGCTCCTGACTCTTTTCTGCAGCCTTTCTACTGCTTCTTCTTGGCTCCCTCTTACTGCTATCTTTCAGCCACACCTCTGATCTTATTGTAGGTAAGATCTACTCCTAGCCTTCTGGGACAAGGGCGAAAAATCTCGGAGGTCCTGTGTGCAAGTTGCACACGTTAAAGATCGCTTGGTGGTCCAAAATCAATAAGAGTAGGCTTCGGCCGCCACCCGGGCAAAATTCAAAATTTCCTACCAACTGAAAATGTTTGGTGTGTTCCGCGTGCTTATATTTGTATTACCTTATATGCAGTTGCGAGTGCCGTAAAACACTTACCAAAAAAAAAAAAGTTCTCATTTCTGAAAATGTTTTCCCCTTTCAAATTTGTCTTTCAGAGGAGACCAGCTGTGAGTTTGGCTCATTGAAATATTATGCTCTTTGTGGCTTTGGAGGATTGTTGAGTTGTGGCCTGACACATACCGCTGTTGTCCCCCTCGACTTGGTCAAGTGCAGAATCCAGGTGGATGCTGCCAAATATGGGAACATTGTCAAAGGTTTCAAAGTCACACTTGCAGAGGAAGGAGTGAGAGCTTTAGGAAAGGGATGGGCTCCCACACTTGTGGGTTATTCCATGCAAGGAGTTGGAAAGTTTGGCTTTTACGAGCTGTTCAAGATCTTCTACTCCGGAATGCTTGGGGAGGTAAGACACTATTTTTCACTTGCTTTTAGATCAACAAATACAGCTTTTCTCATTGTCTCTAGTTTATCAAACATATGTCGTCAGGGATAGCTGTCTGAAAATAAAAACAAATCACTGGGTTGGGGAAAAAACAAATCACTGGGTTGGGGAATTCCTCCAGACCAAAAATGAGTCTGAGATGTGCGACATGCCAACACTTCCTGGAAGCAATGAGTCAAGTGCAACATTTTATTTTGCAGCTGATGTGAAGCAATTAGGGTGAGTAGGAGGCTTTTATGATTACAGTCCAGTTTATTCCTCGAACATGAAGGGAATGACGAGATTTACAGGCTCTGAAGGAGTTGAAAAGTTACCGCTGTTGTTGCTCCACATCCTTACTGTGGTATATTCTATTTCATACTCTTCTGTTTACGCAGTAGACGTTTTACGGCGCTCGCAACTGCATAAGGTCATATGAGCGCCAGAGGATTAGAGGTGTTACAAGAGAGTTAGGCCCCACGTCCACTGCACTTTTTCGTCACTTGCAGGCCAAGCTCACATGCAAATGAGCTTGTTTTTGTCAGTCACTGACTGCCTTTGCCTGACTACGCGATTTTCCTGCATGCACGCTTTTTCGTCAGTCGTGCAAGGGACTAAGAAAGCCTCGATTCGATTCATTTTGGAAGGAAATTTGCATCTTTAAGTACATTTTTGCTTCTTTATTGTATTTTACATGATCAATAAAGTTGTATCTCATTATATGTTGTACAATAGCAGATTTGTGCTGAAAAACAGCAAAAAAGTGGAATTAAAGCACTTGACCTAGATCTAGATCATTATTTCGTTCTCGGGAGAGCTAAAAATAGGCCAGGTTAGACCCAGCTAGGGACGAGTCTAGATCTGGATAGATCTACGTTCTCTAATGTTTAGTGCTTCCAAATTTCCGCCAATTTTTAGTTTTCTCCAGACATTATCTGCCAGTCCACTAGATTCTAGATCTACATCTCGATATATTGTGTCGCTTTGCTTTTCCTGAAACAGTGCTGTATATGAAGCTTAATTTACCCTTCGCTGATGAAAGTTCTGATGGCCGAGTGAACAGCGTGTCTGTGTTTGGAGGCAAACATTATTTTGTGAGCGTGGGTTTGAATCCCAGTCTCAGCTTTTTTTTTTTTTTCTCATCGTCCCAACTTACCAACAATTTTTCCCATAATTATAATTTGTTGCTTTTTAGTTTTTTAAAGTGATAAATAAATAAATAAATCGCCTGTGCTGTCTGTTGTTCTCGTAATCATAACACACTGGGCTAAAAATAGGTTTAGCTGGTCTGACGTCGGTGGATGCTGATCTTTTTGAGTCGCTTTTACACCATGAAAAAACCTCGTACATTAGCATGGCCTGGAACCTGGAAGTGATCTTATTTTGGTGGACGCATAGACTTACAAACATAAAAAAGAAGAAGGGGAGATAAGGACGAATGATAATCTCTTCTGTTTGCGTTGTTACAAATCAGGAAGCAAGATTAATGGTACTAGACTTTCTGGACGAGTTCAAATATTAATCCTTGTCACTTGAAAATGTTCGTTTGTCTTCATTCAAATATCTACATATTTTAGCTTTTCTGTGCCACTTTGATGTGTCTGGTAAGCTGCCATCATGGAATCCAAAAGGCATTCAGAATGTGAAATTTGAAGGCTTACCTTAAAATGTGCTGCTTTTATTATCATGTGATTATTAAAATTTGTTTTTTAAAAATGTGAATATACTTTTTTTTATTCCAATGGCACCTTTTGTCTACATCACCTTCTCAGGAAAACACTTACCTGTGGCGAACAAGTTTGTATCTGGCTGCCAGCGCTTCTGCTGAGTTTTTTGCTGACATTGCCCTGTGCCCCATGGAGGCCATCAAAGTACGTATTCAGACTCAACCGGGCTGGAGCACCACACTGCGTGAGGGATTCCCCAGAATTCTCAAGGAAGAGGGCGTCTCTGGGTAATTATTACGATTGCTTGTTCTGTAACTTTGTGCATAAGTGTCATAATGTAGTCTTTTGTTTTCGCCCAGTTATGTTTAGCAGTTTGGACCAATAGCAGGTCTCTCTGATTTGTGCACTTCAAGGATTTCTAGAACTAGATCTAAATTAAATTTTTAAAAAATTTTATTTTCTGGAGATCAAAGTGATGAGGATGATGATTTTGAAGGAATACCACTAAGATCGTCATCGTGAGTGAAACCAATAGATTTATTAGAGCACATCACAGATGAGGGTTTGACTCCCAAGAGGAGGCGCATGTAAGGTCAATTTGAATATATTACAATACAATAGCATCATCAGAGACAAAATTGCACTTGGTTTGAATTATTTGTTTTTATTCCGTTTGTATAAAAGAAGCAAAGTCTGTACTCCACATTCATTATCGTCAAGGGGGGCTCTCGTGGCCTTGAGGTTAAGGTGTTCTGCTATCATTCAATGGGTCCTGGGTAAGAATTTGGACAGCGACGGAAATGTTTTTCTCTAAAATTGTCTCCTTTCACCTCCTTTTCTGCTCTCTTGCAATGTTCTGTCGTCTGCTTTCGTCTCCACTTTCTACCCCTACCACCACCTCACCTCCTTTGCCCCCTCCTCTAGGCTTTCTACTGCTACTCCTTTTCCTTCTTACTGTTGTCTTTCAGCCACACCCCAGATCTTCTGGTAGCAAAGATCTACACCTAGCCTTCTCGGACAAGGGCGAAAAATCTCAGAGGTCTCATGTGTAAATTTCGCAAATGAAAGATCCCTTGGTGGTCCTAAATCGACAAGAGTAGGCTTCGGTCGCCGCCTGGGCAAGATTCAAAATTTCCTACCAACTGAAATTGTTTAATGTGTCCAGCGGGCTCATATGACCGTATGCAGTTGTGAGTGCCGTAAAACACTTACAGGAGAAAAAAGTTATGGTGAATTTATTTTTAGAAAATTAAATGACATGACGTGTTAAGAATGTAAGAGTATAAAAATTCTATTTTGCGTCAAGAACCATTACTATAACTATACATTTTTATAAAGCTTATAAACTGTAGAATGCGCTGAGAGGGGTCTCACAGTCAAACACAGGTGACTGAAATTCGTGGGGGATTGGAAATAGTGTTCTTCTAGATTTCCGTAATTCGTCATGTTCATGAAAGCCCCAACACCCCTAGTGGGTCGGGGGGATATAAGTAGACCCACTGCTCCGCCAGCAGGAGGTGCAACCCCTTCACTGGCGATTTGTTGTGGACATCTACGCCCATGTGCACTTGCTTTGGTGTATCGTCTGTCTTCTATCGTCTTTCTTCCTTCTTCTTTCGTCCTTCCCCGAGCTGACCGGGGAATAAAATAAAAATAGTTGGCTGTCCCATCAACAAGGGGTGTAACCCCCCGCTGGTGGGATGCCACTCGTATGTCACTAGCTCTCTGACGTAGGGGTGGCATCTTTTGTCCGCTCTTACTATGTCTTCTATCCATCTATCTTTCTTTCCGTTCTGTCGACCGAAGGTCCTGTCCAGCAAAGAATAGACCCCAAATCCCCGCAACGCGAGGCACCCCGTTGACCGCGGGGTGCGACCCGTACGACCGGAGAAGGGGACCCTGGTGGCTGAGGTGTGGCTTTCCTCACCAACACGCCACTTTGGCACTGGATTCGGTCTAGACGGGCGGGTGCAGTGGCCTACTGCACTCAATCGGTTGCGACCGGTTCATAGAACCGGTTTTGGCCAATCTTGGTTAGAAGGCAAGATTTCTTGTCGTCTGATTGGGAGTATACCTCCAGGGTAGCCCTGACACCAGCTATGGACTTCCGAGCAGTGTCCCCTTGTTGGACTCGGTGGCGGGTGGGGAGCCCTGGAGATGAATAAAAACGAATTATATAAGGATATGAAAACACAAATTTCTCCCCCTACCCCAATTCCCAACAAGTCCCTGTCAGGAGGAGCGGGTGTGAATCCTGACCAGGGCAAAAGAAAACGGATGAGAGAGGACGAGAGTATTAGTATCTGGGACCTGCCTAGACAAACATCGCTAGGATGGTCACCTTATTTGGTGATCTCCTCAGCTGATGAGTCAAAAACAAAAGTTACTTCTTTAAGCGTCTTTGCCATTGGCAAAGCTCTCAGAGCCTGTGGCATCCCCAGACCAAAGAAAGTCTCCCCCCAGGGGTCTGGCGACCTCTTGGTGGAGTTTGCCAACGTGGCCGATTCCGTACAATTACGGAAATGTACGTCGTTTGGCGGCATCCCTGTAAGTGTTGAGCCTCACAGGAGTCTCAATACTTCCAAGGGTGTTGTAAAGAGCCGTGACCTAGACGGCTGTACGGAGGAAGAAATGGTGCAAGAAATAGAAGGTGTCACCCACGCTCGTCGTGTCATAGTGCGACGAGATGGGAAAGAGATCCGCACCAACACATGGATACTGTCTTTCGACTGTCCAAGACCTCCTACCAAACTGACGATAGAGTACTTGGAACTAGAGGTAAAACCCTACGTCCCTAACCCGATGCGCTGTTTTTAATTGCCAGCGCTTCGGGCATACAAAATTAAGATGCCGGCGAAATGCTGTTTGCCCTCGCTGTGGCAAGGAGGGTCACACAGAGGAATCCTGCACGTCAGTTCCTCGGTGCCCAAATTGCCAGCAGGGAGGACATCCAGCATATTCGAGAGAATGTCCCAAGTACTCTCAAGAAAAGGCCATCCTAACCCACCGAGCGAAGTTCGGAGGCACCTTTGCCCAGGCTAAGGCAGCCGTCTTCCCGATGGGATTGGATTCAACACGAAAGACATACGCAGACGCTGCCAAGGCAGGCCCCAGAACCGCTGACAACGAAAAAGAAAAATTCCAAACCGTGAAAACGCCACGCACAACCAATAAAAATAAAAAAACCCAAAAGCGCCACGATAACCAGGAGGACATGGAGCTCTCCCTCCACACATCCCCTCCAAAACCTCTCAACATCTTCACCCCCAAAACCCTCACCATCTCCACCTTCATCATCACAACCATCCTCATCCTCACCACCATCTCCATCCTCACATACATCATCCTCATCCACATCCTCATCCTCACCACGCTCATCTTCATCCCCACCGCCAACTACATCTTCATCTTCACCTCCATCCCATCATCCTTCATCCAATAAAGCCCCTCCACCCACTCCCCGCACCCGCTCCCCCTCCTCTACCCGCATCCAGGACTCCGGTCCTCCTCCCCCTCCACACTCTCCCTCAAAAAAGGCTGCGGTCCACCATGACCGCAGCAGAATAAAACAAAGACAAAGGTCACCAACGACCCCCCAAAAAAATGTATCGAACCCGTGCCTTCAAAATAAATTAAAATGGCAGTTCTTCAGTGGAACATTCGCGGTTTGCGTGCAAACCAGGCAGAACTCTCTTATCTTTTGACCTCACACACCCCAAATGTAATCTGTCTACAAGAAACTAAATTGCCAACACCCACATTCACATTAAAAAACTATCAAACTTACAACCAAATATACACCGACAACCAAATCGCCTCTGGGGGCAACTCCATTTTAATAAATAACCAAACACTACACTGACAAATACAACTAAACACAACACCTCAAGCAGTTACGGTCAGGGTCACCCTACGCCGTCCTATAACTATCTGTTCAATATACATCCCTCCAAATTATCCTCTATCTTTAAGAGAACGGGGGCTCTCGTGGCCTAGAGGTAAGGTGTTGGCCTCTCATTCAAAGGTCCCGGGTTCGATTCCGGGTAGCGACCAAAACATTTTCTTCTCTAAAATTGTCTCCTTTCACATCCTTTCCTGATCTCTAGCAATGTTCTGTTGTCTGCTTTCATTTCCACTTTCTGCCCCCACCCCCTCACCTCCTTTGCCACCTCCTCTGGGCTCCTGACTCTTTCTGCAGCCTTTCTACTGCTACTCCTTGGCTACTCCTAACTGCTGTCTTTCTGCCACACCCCTGATCTTCTGGTAGGAAAGATCTACACCTAGCCTTCTCGGACAAGGGCGAAAAATCTCGGAGGGCCCGTGTGCAAGTTGCGCACGTTAAAGATCCCTTGGTGGTCTAAAATCGATAAGAGTAGGCTTCGGCCGCCACCCGGGCAAAATTCAAAATTTCCTACCAACGAAAAAGTATTAGGTGTGTCCCGCGCGCTCATATGACCTTATGCAGTTGCGAGCGCCGTAAAACCCTATACTGAACAAACAATTTAAGAGAACTAATAAACCTCAGAGACCAGCTCCCACAACAATTCATGTTGGGAGATTTTAATGCCCATAGCCCTCTTGGGGGAAATGAACCAACTGATACTGAAGGTAAAATCATAGAAGGTTTCTTAATAAAAACCAATACTAGTGTTTTTAACGACAATTCCCCAACATTTCAAAATTCAAATAACCTAAACTTTTCATCCATAGATTTAACCCTATGTGATCCTGACCTAATTCCAGACTTTCAGTGGTCGGTCCTGGACGACCCACACGGATCGGACCACTTTCCCATCACCCTAATTTCAGACATTCCACACCGAACTCCTATCCCGGACCGTTTCAATCTTAAAAAAGCGGACTGGGATGGGTTCCACATGGAATGTCTGGAGAAACTCAATCCATCTCAAACACAAACACAAACTTTTGAACGATTTCATGAAACCCTTCTCGAAATCGTTCAAAAACACATACCAAAATTGTCCACCAAACCCCCAAAAAATAAATGTTGGTTCACTGAAGACTGCCAAAAAGCTGTTGCGGCCAAAAAATCAGCTCTCAGGAAGTTTGTCAACTCTAAAACTAACGAAGACCTCATTAATTTAAAAATTGCGCAAGCCCAAGCACGCAGAAAAATCAGAACAGCCAAGAAACCATCTTTTCGAAATTGTCTAAAAAATCAACAACAACACACCAATGCACAAAGTCTGGAAGATGATAAAGAAATTAAAAGGTACTAAAAAAAGACACAAACACATCATAAAACCGAATAACTCCTTCGTAGAAACCGAAAAAACAGTTGCTGACTGTATAGCATCAACTCTCTCTGGAAATTCCTCTACCCACAATTACAACCCTGAATTCAAAAAAGTAAAAATGTCTTCTGAAAAAACAACTGTTGATTTTACCTCTTCAAATGGAGAAAACTATAATTGCAGCTTTTCTCTTAATGAATTAAAATGTAATATTGCAGAACTATCAAACACAGCTCCAGGCCCTGATCAAATACACAACGAAATCATCAAACGTCTTCCAGACGAAACACTCCTATTACTCCTTGATATTTACAATGAACTCTGGCATTCTCAACAATTTCCGAACAGTTGGCGTCTTGCCACTGTTATACCAATCCCAAAACCAGGAAAAGATCACTCTAACCCTTCAAACTACCGTCCCATAGCCCTTACAAACTGTTTCTGTAAACTTATGGAAAAACTTATTAACAAACGTCTAATGTGGTTTCTCGAAACCTCAAACTCCTTATCCAATTTTCAATGCGGTTTTCGCAAAAATCGCTCTACTATTGACCATCTCGTCCGACTTGAAACTTTCATTCGGGAAGCTTTCATTCGAAAAGAGCACCTTGTGGCTATTTTTTTCGACTTAGAAAAAGCCTTCGACACCACATGGAAACATGGTATTTTAAAAGACCTGCATGACTTGGGCTTACGCGGAAATCTTCCCGAATTTATACGAAACTTTTTGAAAGATCGATCATTTCAAGTAAAAGTAGGTTCAACCCTATCAAATTTACACACCCAAGAAGAAGGCGTCCCCCAGGGAAGCATCTTATCGCCCATTCTTTTTTAAATCAAAATCAATTCCATCACAAAAACCCTTCAAAACAATCCTAGGTGCTTTCCGTACTTCACCTGTAGAAAGTTTACAGGCAGAAGCGCATGAACCAGCTTTAGAACTTAAAAGGAAAAAACTCTCTTTGCAGTATGCTTTGAAACTTAGCTCAGTACCCCAAAACCCAGCCCACAAATGTGTCTTTGGCCTTCCCGAAGATCTCAAAACTCTATCCCCCTTAGGAAATAAAGTAAGCCCTTTCGGAATAAGAATCCAGAACGATCTCAAAGACATTGATTTTTCTGAAGACATAATCGAGCCCTTTGCCATGTCCAGCATACCTCCATGGCATTTAACCAAACCAAACATAGATACTAGTCTTGAAAAACACAACAAAAAGTCTACAGACAAAACTACATACTTAAACTCATACAAACAGCTAATAAATAGATACCCTGAAGCAGAGATACTTTTTACAGACGGATCCAAAAATGACTCCTCAGTAGGAGCTGCTGCCCTTGCATCGCCACACAGCTTAAGCTTAAGGAAACTCCACCCAGAAGCTTCAGTCTACACTGCTGAGGCTACAGCTCTTGAAATGGCCCTAAATATTATAGATCAATCAACCAAGTCTACTTTCCTAATCCTTTCAGACTCTCTCTCTTGTCTGAAATATTTAGAGCGCTCTGACACCTCCGACAACAGAATTTTAAAACTTATCATTAAACTGCATTTTCTACATCAGTCTGGAAAAACTATTACAGTAGCTTGGCTTCCAAGCCATGTAGGCATTGATGGCAACGAAGCCGTTGACCAATTTGCCAAAGAATCTCTAAAACTACCTGAAAACAAAAATAGTAAAATTCCTTTCTCTGACATGAAACCGAAAGTAAAAGAACACATCACATCCTCCTGGTCCCATATTTGGAATCAACAAGTACACAACATACTCCATTACATTCAACCGAAACTTACGCCCAGGAAACCACTCTCTCTACCACGAAGAGAAAAAGTAATTTTTACCCGACTAAAGATAGGACACACGCACGTCACGCACAAACATTTGCTCGAAGGAGAGGAAGCTCCTTTTTGCGTGGCGTGCAACACAAATTTCACAGTTCGGCACATCCTAACGGAATGTGTCGAATTTAATTATGTTCGTGAGAAATATTTCAAATGTAAAGATATTAAGACCCTTTTTGACATCATAGAGCCTAGAAAAATTTTAAGTTATATAAAAGAAATTGGACTAATAGAATATGAATATATATAGTCATTGTTATCGGTGTATATATACATACGGTGTATATATACATACACTGAAATTTATATTGTATATATACAAATGTAAATAAGCCTTTTCCATATTTACCAAAAATTTTTTTTAAAATAAATGTTTGTTCGTCTTTTTAGCATAATGGAAATAGTGTGATCGTTTGCGGTTGCGAGCTCCGAAAGACTCTTACTAAAAACACGTCTGATTTTGTAGCGGTGAAACCTGATGGCGCTTAAATGACCAAATTGTGTCGATAGTACGTAAAACATCTACCCAATCAATAAAATCGAAAGCCCCAAATACAAAGAAATAGAGAAAATCAAGGGAGGTAAAAAAGAACGTTAAAACAATTAACATGGTTAGCTCCCTCGATGAATGTGTTGACGGTGTGAAAGCAAGAAGATGAATGAATGTGGACAGCAGAAGATCTCACGTGTGCTCAGCTGACTCCTACGCCATTCCTTTCTTCTCATTTCATTGGCTTACAGAAAGTTATGCCTCTTGTCATCTGCACCCCCAGCGACCCTCACCATGATTGCACACGTGGCGAGCCAGTCATGCGGTTCGGTCTGCATCACTCCTCGTCCCCCCTTCTTCCAGCTTCTCTTAGTGAGACGAGGCCCATGTTTTGGCTGTAACAGAAACAAAGAAACACCTACCCGCGGCCAGAAAGGCTGTATAGCCAGGTCTTTAGTTGAGAATGCGAAGTGGATTTGTTCGAGACTCAAGTGTTGCATGTTCCGAGTGTTCAGGAACTCCGTGAAGTCAATACAAAGATAACATAAGCACTGAAACGGGACCAAGCATTATGTTCAAGGTACCCGAGAATTCATGATTTTCATATTCGGGATTCATGGACTCACTGCATATTCATAAAAAATACACTGAGGGATATAGTGACACATTTGTAAACAAAATGATCTGATATTCATTGTCAATGACAGAAGATCACGGTCACTGAACATTTATTTTTTTTCCCCGCAGTAATGTAAGAATATTCGACTCAAAAGCTTTCAGAAAATGTATAGTTATCAGTACCTCATTTGCTGTCTTCTATTGCTGTTCTTTATTTTCTTATCCTTATTCTAAATAAATTCTTTTAAATAGCCTTGACACCACAGCACATTGTATTGGGTACTTGGAGGATTAAAAAAAAAAGATTCTTGTGTTTGTTATTAATGTGATTTGTGCTTCTTGTTACAGGTTCTACAAAGGCCTTGTTCCACTGTGGGCCCGTCAGATCCCATACACAATGATGAAGTTTGCTTGCTTTGAACGCACAGTCGAGCTTTTGTACAAGAATGTGGTACCAAAGCCACGTTCAGAGTGCACCAAGGGAGAGCAGCTTGTTGTCACATTTGCCGCCGGTTACATTGGTATGTGTGTTCTCAGTGATAATGCTCAGCATTTTAAAAATAAAGTAGATTGTGCTATGTGAGTAAGGGGGGATTTAGGCCGATTCACCCAAGTGTTTGTTATTTCTGATGATATACATGTTTACATGTTGTGATTAGTCAAATGTGTGTCCAGTTTTCTGTATTGATCATTTTGTGTTATTAGTGAGGATTAGTATATTTTCTTTGTCTGCTTTGGGTGAATATGTGTAGTGGAGCAGTGCTTACAATCTTCAGTATTTTTACGCAAATCTGTACTGATAGGTCCGTGCTCCCCTATCATAACCAATTTCATCTGTAAAAAATACGATAGCCTAGGGCTACCGAAATTCCGTTGCAAAGGATCCGTGATCGCTTTCATGTTGTCTTGTAAAAGTCAGTGCTTCCAGTTTTCGGCAAATAGAAAAATTTCCGCAAAAATTTGTGTTTTAAAAAAATAATTAAAAATTATATTATTTTTAAAAATGCGAATTCCGGAATTACTAAGTCAACAATAGCCAACTCATACTGGAAGTGCTCTTTTATAATCTGAAGGTGTAGACAGTGTCTGTCACTTCTAAAGCACAAGCAAGCAGAGCACCAGCACTGTAAACAAGAGGAAGAAATGTGGTTCAATAGATCTTGGGCCTGCCAAGAAAAGGAATGTCTCAAGAGAGTTTGATTTTTTTATCAGACTTGTTATTTGAAAAAATTATGTTGTGGATTTAAGTTGAACATTAACTGTCAAGTTATTTAGATCTAGCTTTTATACTCTTGGGGGAACAACAGCACAAGGGAGAACAACATGGCCTTGGACTATACGGGTACCACACAACATAAGCAGAAAAAAAGTTGAACTATAACTGTCAAGTTTTATAGACCTAGCTGTTATACTATTATGGATGTACAGTACTGGTACAAGGGAGAAAGCGTGGCCTGGGATTTATATGGATCAACATAAGCAGAAAACGATGTATGCAAGTTACGTTTTTTTTTCCACTTACTTTATTGTTAAAACAGTGCTTCCACTCTTCCGTATTTTTACGGAAATCCGTACTTTCTGCCAGTTCCGTACTTGTTCCTGCATCATTATCAACTCCGTCCGCTGCGACAGCGTAGGATTACCGAAATTCCGTAGCAAAAGATCTGTACTCGCCTTTGTACCGTCTAGTACTAGTATAAGTTACGGATTTTTACGGTAATTCTCTCGGCCACAAGTTAATGTTATAGAAACCTGCCAGATTGAGCATTTCCTGCAATCGGCCATTATTCCGCTAGCCCCTTGCATTCATTGCGGGCTTGTCGGCAGTACATTTTTACCTGTGGATTGATCGAAATCTGGCGAATGTTTTGTGCCAATTTCCTCCTTTCTATCATTCACTCATTCCTTCTGTCTATCTTCGGATTGTTGCCGCGGCTGGAAAATCTGCGCGTTGATCAAGTAAATTGACTTGTGAACTTAGACAGAAAATTACTGTTAGAAAGAAACTTTTGTACAAATTTGTCTAGATCTAGAGAAATGATCAATACGGAGATTCTACGGCACGGGAACGCTATAGGGGCCGCGATGAAAGAAATTTATGCTAAAACTAACCTAAAACTACTTAAGTCAAGAATAATTCGAAGTGGTTTTCCGAGGTTGTGACAAGCGACATTCAGGCGTGAAATTTAAGGAAAATTAGGGTATACGCGGGGTAACTGTATTGTGAAGGTACATATTGTCGGCCTTATGATAAAACCGACTAACCCCAGCGAGGTAAATTTTGCAGGAGAAGGAATAAACTGTTTAATTTCAAAACAAAGGCGTCTAACGATAAATCAATGCTTTAAACACCTATAAAAACACTTTACCGAAAAACTGTAGACCTTTTTTTCCTTTAAAAATTGCTTTTAATGAAACTGCGTGGATTAGATGGTTATGTCGCTCAAATTTTCCTGGATAAAACCAACCAACTCTCAATTTTGTGGGTTGACTGATTTTATCAGGAAGCTACTGCTGGGCTTGAGTTTGGTTGAATTCAGCCAAACCACACTTGACGGTAACGTATTTGATCGAGGAGGAGGAGGAGGGGGAGGAGGAAGAGGGTGAGAAGGAGGAGGATAAGGAGAAAAAAAGAGGAGGAGTAAGAAGAAGAAAAAGGAAGAGGAGGAAGACTCTATTATTGCTACAAACATACTATCAGCTGCTGCCATTTCATAGCTACGGATTCAATTCGGGCAAAAACAGCAGTCCCAAAGGAGAACATTTTAGAGAAGTAGAAGAAGCAGAACACAGCAATGGGTGTATTAATTACATTTGAAGTAGAAGAACAGGAGGTTTGAAGGGTAAGGGAGAGCAGCTACAGCAACAACTACAAAAACAACAACTACAACAACAAAAACAACAGTAGTAGCAGCAGCAGCAGGCCTTTAGAATTTATGACAGTGTCTGAGACGGTACTATTGGCACTAGGTCGCCATTCAAAGGCCTGGAAAAAGGTAATACTAAGAAAAATGAAAGTAGAAAGCCACACAAAAGCTCTGCTACCTTTGCAATGGTTTGGGTGAAGTTGGTTACATATTATTATACAAAAAGACTCTGTGAGTAACAAAGAATGCGCCAACTTTCTCCAAGGTGCGTGGCTTGACAACTACTACTTTATTGAGTTTTCTCGACGATAGAAGAGCATGTCTGCCTCACTATGTGTCCTATGGCTACAACAAGGCAATACGACAAAAGTTACCATTGTTTTGAAAGACTCTACAATAATCGAATTTGGCTTGATCGCTTTCAAAACTTCTTATGGAGGCAAATTTTCATGGTAATTGTGGTAGCATCGTGGTACGACGGCCTTCAACTCCAGTAGATGTTTATACTGGTTGGCAGTTATCTTCAATCTGTCTTTGCAGAGAGGTCCAGCAGTAACCGTCGTACACAGGGTGTTCAGATTTCTTGGTCCTTGCAGCGCCTGCTATCCATCATCAAAGTTCAGCTTGTACTGAATTTTAAAGACTGGAGTGTACTTTGATGCCTGCAAGTCACTGACAGTAGGGTCGCCTGCTTTTCTCCCTGGACGGATTGTTTAGTGCTCTCCGACCTTTGCGAAATCTTTGAAAAAGCTGTGGGCCAGGTACATAACTTCATAGGGCCTGGGAATGCGTCTGGCTTTGAGCATGATGTTCACGTAGTCCATTGGGATGTACATCGGTGCGTTTTTTAGCGATCGCTCAATAGTGCCATGGACTGAATCCACTTCCATTTGGGTATGGCCCTTGGTGAGAATTTCTGCTCAACTGTGATGTCAAGCTCTTTGGCCAGCGAGACCATTGCACTCACCAGGGTGGCTTTCTGTTTTAGTAGTTGCACCAATCACTGCAGATGATGAAGTGGTTGAAGTCAGTCACTTGCAATATCAGTTAGTGAGTCAGACATGATGAAAACTGTTGAAGCTCAGACCAACTTCACTTTCATACCAGACATATCATCTGGCGTCTCTGGTAGCAAGATCCTAAATCGTAAAATTGTGTACAGCCAGTTTTGTTTTATAATATAAGGTGGATGTCTTTAGTGATGAGACTAGAAGGACGCACTGGATCTCCGTACAAAGGACACACACTTTGTTCTCTGGGTTCAGTGCAGCCTCCCTGTCCTTCTCCTTCTCTGGTCTAGCTGCAGCTTTCCTCATATTCATATTTGATGAGCTGTGTATTCTGTTTCTGTGAGGTTTCCAGATTTGAAGCTGGTACAAATGTCGCACTGGTCTTTCTTGGTTGAAAGTAAACCCAAATTGTTTTTCTTTAACTTTTGGCAGAACACTTGATAGCTCAATGTGGCTTTCACCC